TCATATACATTGGTCATAAATAGGGATGAGAAAGCATACCCCTCCTCCGTTGTTTTGATCCCGGGCAATGCGCATAGACAAGAAGTGGTAAAAGTTAGGCCTTTGCTCCTCGTGGTCCCTTGTATGGATAAATAGTTGTTGAACCTCGTCATTTGCTCCTTGACATCTTCATCATGCATTACATGAATATCCGGTTGGCCCTCCTCCTTGAAATCTATCTTCGTGATCACATCATCTAGATAGATATCCTTTGCATCATGTACAACTCGGGTTGTCTTTCCTTTTAGCTTCCTCATGTCCTTGACCTTGCTGCCATTCTTCATTGGATGCCCATCTTCAAAGAATCTATCAAGGTAGAGCCTATATACATCGGATATAAACTCATCCGTGTACATGTGCCCTTCTTCGCTAGTTTCCACCCCCGGTAGGCCTTCAAGACAACTCTTTGTAAAGTATATCCCGGGCATATCTTTGTCCACTTCTCTAAGGTAGTGGTCTAGCCTAATAATAGGCTCGGTAATGTCCCCAATGTGTTGAACTTTGATGGTAGGGACTCGGGCCTCCTCCGCCTCCAAATGAACTATGACTTCATCATCATAGATATCCTTAAAATCTTTGATAACCCTTGGTAAGACATGGTCATCCGTGTAATCAAAGGTGGTCTCATATCCGGATGATCCCCCCTCTTCCCTTACCGTGGCCTTCTTCTTTGGTTTCCTTTTCTTCTTTTTAAGCCTAGCCACCTTCAAGAAAGGGTGCTCTTCCTTTGGTATGTAATGTTCCTTTGCCGCGACATTAGAACCCTCACCTTCCTTTGCATTTGGTACATCACATGCCGCGGCATTAGGTAGTATTGCCACGGCATTAGGTTGTTTTTCCCTCCCCTCCTCCACTATGCCCTCCTCGGTAGCAAGCTTTGGTTGGTCAAATCCATCTTCCATTGCCCTCTTCTTCTCTATCATTTCTTTTTGCTCCATCTCGGCCAATACTTTACATGTAAAAGCATGGTGGCCATATGTTTTACATTGGAAACAATAATTAGGAAATGTTTCGTAGATCATTCTTTGGATATGGAATCTCCCATTTGGCATCTTTACTTTTAGCTTTAGAGGTGGAGGTTTGGCCGCATCTACCTCAATTAGAACCCTTGCAAAGTGAGACCGAGCCCTCTCTTGAGTGACCCTATCGGTTGTTAGGGGAAAACCCACCCGTGAGGCAATCTCACTTATCACATCTTCATCCCACATTCTCATAGGAAGATGTGGGAACTTCACCCAAATTGGGACTTTTAAAAACTCTTCACTATCAAAAGTGAAGTCTTCCGAGAGGGTCTTTAGATATAGGGACTTCCCAAAGAGAGAATAGGGCCCTTCCATGAGAACTTTAGCTCTAGACTCTTCATCCTTGAATTTGAAGATGACCCACCCCCGGTCATGTTGTCTAGCATTGCATTGGACACCCCATTTGGTGATTAGGTCATAGATTGGTTTCATTCCGGGGAATCTGCCCGCGAAGTAACCAACAAGGCAAAAGCCCCATATCTCCACAATAGATCTAATAGACCTCTTAGAAAGGTCAACATATTCCCCCACGGGTTCAATATATTTGAGCTTCATCCCTTTGCTAGGTTCTCTATTATCTTTGAAGAGCGAAGCCCAAGGAGTTTTGTTAGGACGAACAATAGGAATAGCCGGGGAGGAAGACTCATCCGAGTCAAGAACATCCTCCACAATTCCATCAATCATAGGTGCTTTCCCTTTATCCTTCACGGCAGCAACATTCATGGCATTTGGAACCACACCGGGGGGGCTATTTGCATAAGCCCCATCAATCTCAAGGGTAGAGGTTCCCTCCTTTGGTATATCCCCTTTTGCAAGGTTGATACCATTGGAGTTAACTCCCTCTTTTTCAATAGCAACCATAGCCAAAGGGTCTACCACATATTCGGTTTCAATAACGGCATCATCAATAGAACAAGTTTCATCAATAGCACAAGCTTGAATAGGCAGCGGATCCTCAACATTTTCCTTCTCCTTTGTCACAACAACATCCTCATTTACTTTAGCAATTTGAGTGTTAGAATTACCAACCTCGGTATTGGCATTGACGTGTGGAAGCACCTCAAAATTTTGGGGAAGCAGCTCATGGGCATCCACCCGCGGAAGCACCTCAATATTTTCTTGGTTTGCGGAAGAAGTGGAGCTCCCATCCTTATCTAGAGAGTCATCCTTTGGAACCTGCTGAGTCATCTCCATATCTTTCACCTTCCGGCCAGCTTCATCAATCTTTTTGGCTTGCGCAATAGCCTTAAGCCGTGAGGATGATTTGAGCTGTTGGGGCGTTTTCTTCTTCTTTTTCGTTGGCATGATGTGCTAGGAGAGTGGGGGGGGAGCTAGGAGGTAACAACCCCCTCACACAAACACATTTGCCGGTTTCAAGCTTTGTTGGCCGTCAATGGAAGAAATCCGTTGGAGAAGATGAAATTTGAAACTTTCTTGATGATGGAAAAAACTAGATAAAGTTAATCCCCTCCTCAAGGTGAAGCTAGCGCCACCTTCAAAACGGAAAACGAGCAAAGGAATCAAGCTATGGAGGCGTTGACCTTCTAGCGTGAATAGTGTTTTCACGGATGAAAAAGTCGGTTTTCTTGCTTAAAATCTTCAAAAATGAGCTCAAATTTTAGAGAATACACCGAAGTTGATGTATTATAACTAAAATATAAGCTGAATCCAAGAAGAAATCAAGAAGAAATGGAAGAAAGTGATGAAACCGTGTGATTTGCGTGAAAGAACTTTCCGAGTAGCGATGGTCGCTAGAGAGAGATGCTCTCAACGGAGGCCCCGGCGCTGGTTTCAAAATATCAAGGGATGATTGCCTAATTACTAAAATACACTGTATTTTCGCTAACCCTGCTCTATTTTCGCTGAAAACGCTAAATCATAGAGATAAGGCTAAGTATTTGTGACACTCATATCTTGCTGTGTGTTTATCTGGTTGGAGCGTATTATATCTCGTTGGAAAGATAGATCGGAACTCTAAATCTATTGTTCCAACTTCATTTACAATGCATTAATTAAAAGTTACAGATTAACCATATATTCACAAATGTTTCTGATTTCACTCCGAACTCGTGTAGAATTTGATGCAATCATATCTTGCTCTATTTTATGCCGTTGAAAGTGTTTAATATCTCGTTGGAAAGATCTTACCGAGTTCTAAAACTTGTATTCAGGCGCTGGTTTCAAAATATCAAGGGATGATTGCCTAATTACTAAAATACACTGTATTTACGCTAAAAGTGCTCTATTTTCGCTGAAAACGCTAAATCATAGAGATAAGGCTGAGTATTTGTGACACTTATATCTTGATGTGTGTTTAACCGATTGGAGCATACTATATCTCGTTGGAAAGATAGATCGGAGCTAATAATAATAATAATAATAATAATAATAATAATAATAATAATAGTAATAATAATAATAATAATAATAATAATAATAATATTAATAATAATAATAGTAATAATAATAATAATAGTAATAATAATAATCATAATAATAATCATATTAATCATGATAATAATAATAATAATAATAATAATCATAATCATAATAATAATAATAATAATAATAATAATAATATAATAATAATAATAATAATAATAATAATAATATTACTAATAGTAATAATAATAGTAATAATAATAGTAATAATAATAGTAATAAAATAGTAATACTAATAGTAATAGTAATAATAATAATAATAATAATAATAATAATAATAATAATTTTAATATTAATAATAATAATAATAATAGAAATAATAATAATAATAATAATAATAATAATAATATTAAAAATATTAATAATAATAATAATAATAATAAGCATAAGAATAATAATAATAATAATAATAATAATAATAATAATAATAATAATAATAATAATAAAATATGGTCTGGTCTGGTCTGTTTTAGTCTGGTCTGGTCTGGTGTGGTCTTGTCTGGGAACAACTACAGTCCAAGTAAAAACAACCTAAAGCTATTGTTCCAACTTCATTTACAATGCATTAATTAAAATTTACTAATTAACGATATATTCACAAATGTTTCTGATTTCAATCCGAACTCGTGTAGAATTTAATGCGATCATATCTTGCCCTATTGTGCCATTGAAAGCGTTTAATATCTCTTTGGAAAGATCTTACCGAGTTCTAAAACTTGTCTTCAGGCGCTGGTTTCAAAATATCAAGGGATGATTGCCTAATTACTAAAATACACTATATTTACGCTAAGGTTTCCTGTAAAGCTTAAGTTGGGTCTAGTTTTAGTTTTTTATATTCTCTTTTACTCTCTGTATCTTTCATTTTATTTCTCTTCTTGCACTGCATCTTTTAATAATAATGATAATAATAATGATAATAATAATGATAATAATAATAATGATAATAATAATATTGATAATCTTACTCTATACAAAACGAAGTGGAAATGCAGCAAGTTTTCCCGCCCAAAGTTTCGGGTCAAAAATGGGTCAAAAGTGGGCAATTCGCTTCTGTGGTCTGGGGTCCACTTCGGTGTGACATTTCGTACCATTAAGGTCATTTCAAATGCAGAGGGTGGTTCTCAAGCATTAATGAATTAGGTGGCATTAAATGGGGTGTTTGAGAGGGGCGAGATCTATTGCACTTTGGGTAATTCAGTTTCATTGCAAACCCTAAAAATTCGAATTCCCTATAAATACCAACATGGTTCAGTTCAAAATTACAAACCACAATGGCATCTAGCAAAGAAAACTCCGAACCACATGGAAATCAATTGTATTCAATGATTAGGGAAGTTAACCACACCAGAACAAACTGGGCTCTAAAAGTAAGGGTGGTGAGAGCATATGAGGTTTCACCTCAATCCAAAGGAGGTGCAAGAATGGAATTTGTTTTCCACGATGAGAACGTAATTTCTATTTAGAAAGCATTTAATTTATTTTTAAAATCCTTTTGTGGTTGATTATTCGAGTGATCATCTTCCTAATTCATTTTGCTTTCATTTTGCAGGGTGACCGCATTCATGCTGTTGTGAAAAGGCCATTCATGCATTTGTATGAAAACAAACTGCAGGAAAACAAGTGTTTCAGAATCAAGAACTTCTTAGTTTTTGATAACTACTTCAACTACAAAACTACTGAACACCCTTATGTTTTAGAATTTTTCAAAAAAACAATGGTCTATGATTTGCACTCAGCAACTTTTCCAAACTTAGTGTTCAATTTCCATCAATTTGACGCGCTGCAGAGTCTAAGAGTCATCAACGACAAATTGCTTATCGGTGATTTCATTTACATATCCTTAAACGCTTTTTTATAATCACACCGTTTAATAACAGTTTTTCTTCAGATGTAATTGGTAAGTACGTCGGGAAGACTCCAGTACAAACACCAATCGTTAATGGGAAACCAGAAAAGCTGATTGAACTAACTTTGGAAGATCCAGAGTACTGTCTTAATTTTGTCTATGATATGGTATTTGTTTATCATAAAAATCGAGAGTTTATGATGAAACTCTTTTTTATTTGTAGTGGAAATCGTATTGGATGCACATTGTGGAACAACTACTGCAAACAGTTCACTGATTTTTATGATGCTCATAAAAATGAAGCCATCTACATCATACTACAAATGGGTAGACCCAGACGCTATCAAGGTCAGGACTAATTCAAAAAAAACTTAAGTTTTTTATTTTGGCTTCAAATGGGCTGATGAAAGATTTCAAACATATTCAGGTCATGTCTTGGTGGGAACATCTTATGATGTTTCGAAGTTGTTAATAAATGGTTCTAGCCCGGAGTTTGAAGATTTGAAATCGCAGTTTGGACCAGATGACGACAATACAACAATGACTACCTTCACTGCAAATTCAGTTGGTCAGGGTAGTGAGGACGTTTTTAGGGGAAAGGCTACTATGACAAACATCAGTGATTTGCTAAAGGACCCAGAGGTAAAAAGTTGATTAATCAAAGAAACTGTATAAAAAAATGATCACCTTTTGTTACTCACAGCTTCTGTACACAGGATGGAACCTATTGGCTACTTGGTGATATTGTATCACTAGACAACTATAAGGAATGGTGCTACCTGAGCTGCCCAACATGCAACAAGAAAATAAAGCCAGAAGATGAAAGGTTCAGATGCATCACATGTGACACGACTATTCCCGAGGGAGTGTTGAGGTTGTGTTATTGGTTAAGATGTATCACTTTCCACTACATTAAAATAAGACTAACTTCAAACATTAATCTGCCAACTTCCGGTATGCAGGTACAAAGTTTCAGTTTGTGTCATGGATGACTCAGGTCACGCTACGTTCACCTTATGGGATAGGGAATGTATAGATATTGTGGGGAAAACTGCAGCAATATTAAGAATGGAAGTTGAAAAGGTTGATTCAAAAAAATACTTTTTACACTAGCAATTCTGAAAAGGGAAGATAATTCATTAAGTTTTTTATTTTCAGAAAACGGGTGATCCTACCCACTTCCCTGAGGACATTGAGGCTTTGATTGATCAAAGAGCAATCTTCAAAATTCAAATAAAAGCAAGAGACGAAAGTTCTTCTTACAAAGGTCCAGTTTCATATGGGATACTTGCAATGATAAGAGACAAATCTATCTTGGACCTCTATACCAAAAATGAAACCCATGCACTTGAAATGGATGAAAACACAGATGTTGAGAAGGTAAATGTTTTGAAATGTTTGATTTGGTGTGGACAGCATAAAAAACATTTGTTATATGTGCAGAGCGGATCAACAGGAAACGAGATAGAAGATGGTACTGCTAGCAGTAAATCAAAACAGAAGGTCTGGATAAGCTTTCCTATTAACTAATTTCGTTGTATCATATGATACTAATTTATTTGGTATGCAGACTGTTGTAATTGAAGATGACGATTTCGTGTCACCTACACAAGTTGAAAACCAAGATGACAGGAGGGCGGCTGAAAAGGTAGATGATGTTATCAAATTCTTTTTTGATAGAGTGGAATTTGTTTAACAAGGCAATAAAAACAAATTGTTTCTGGACAGGGTAAGGAAGTGAATTGCCTAGAAACTCCAACAACTATTCGGACAGTAGGTGGTATTGAAGGGAACGATCAACTTAAGAGAAATCTGAATGATCAGTTTTCGGCGAATGTTAACATCAAACGGAGAAGTATCCGCGTCAAACAAGAGAAGGAATAATGTGAAGATAGACCAGCAGGCTCAGCTACATTTTACTTGAAAAAGGAGTGTGGATTGATGATTTGTTGAATATTTTGTTTGGGCACTTACATATTTATTTAGAACTGTGCCTTACTTTTTTGCTAAACTACGAGCTGGGTCTGTAGTAATGAACTCTGTTTTGCATTGTTCAAGTTGTAGGCATGAACAATTATCAACTATGTTAGACTTATATTTCAGATCAAAACAAATTTTTCTATGTTAGATTTTGCAATGTCAACTTTTCAGGGTTAAAGGACTCCTACGGATGCATCAGCATAAGGAAGAAGGGCACCTACGAAACGGAAAGGAGACCAGGAGACCATGATCTGGAGGAACGAAGACAAAAGAGAGTAGACCAGGGGCGCTTGATTCATAGAGAAATTCTTGGCAATAACACTTATTTCTTATTCATGAGAGTTGTCATTGTTTTGATTCATAAATGTGGTTTTGTGTTACCTAAAGTTCAAGTATTTTCAAAAAATACTATAGAGCACAATTGTTTAAACAACAAACCTACAAAAAAAGATTATCTGATGAAAAATGTGTTTGTTGGCTAAGTTTACCCGAACGGTGATAAACGAAGTGGGAGGTAGTGTAATTTATAAGGATTAAAAAATAAGTTTCAGATTAAAAAAGATTAATTTAATCTAAATTTGAATAATATTTCGAAAAAATGTTCAATATAAACAAAAGTGTTAGTTCAAATTTATGTTAATACAGATTTAAAGAAGATTTATCAAACTTAAACTTAATTCGAAATAAATATTTCGAAAATGTGTTCACTAAAAACATGTCATCTGATAAATGTCATGAAAATTTACCAACAAAAATGTTAGTACAAAAGTGTTGGTGTGGAAAGAATCCTACGACTTAGATTGTAATGTTACAATTCATCTTTTCGACTATATTGGCTACAGACCTACAGTCAAGGAAACGGTAACACCATTGCAACTTTGTAATTCAAACCAAAACTTTTGCCGTGAAATATGAAGATTTTGGCTAAACATAGAAATAGAATACAAAAAATTAACTATTGTTGAAGTTAATTAAAAAGGTTCCTGCTCTCTAAATTGTTGACTACATTTAAAATCATACATCATACAATTTATATATTGACAAAGGCTGATATTAATAAAGGAAGATAGACATACCTGGTGTTTGGTGTGGCTATGAACCTGCATTCCTAGAGGTCTAAACTATTTAACTATTACATATGAGGCACCTTATTAAAGGCCCTAAACCTATGAATTACATTCATTAAACTAAAAGAAAAAATAATTACATAATTCACTTAAGTTCCTGAACGCACCTGAAATGTAAATAAAAACACCAAGTCAGAGGAAGATCTACTTTATTCCTTACTTCATGTATTATGTACTTTTAAGCAAATAATTAATAAGCTTTTGTTTATAATAAATAAAACGAAATCCTCAAGTTGAATCAAATCTAGATTTTTAAAAATGTCTATGACAAAATCTATAACTTTAGGTAAATGCTGGTATGGGTTTTAAATAAAGTTTAAGATGAAAATAGATTGATCAAACTTAATTGAAATCGGTACTTCATTTAAGTGGATTGTAAAAAGCATTGGGGGGAAATTCTTTGGATGATTTAATAATAATAATAAATCTATAAATAGGTGGGTATAGAAATCTGCAATCCTAAAACCAATGAATTACATTCATCAAAGTAAATTACAAAAAAAATACAAGTTTGATGTTTCTGAATGCACCTCAAATAAAAACAAAAACAGTAAGTTAGAGCATGTTTGTGAGGTGATCTCGATACAGTAAGTGAACATGTTTAACCAAGTCAAAACTCTACTTCATAAGCAACTAATTTGAAAACCTATGTTAATAATATATAATTTGTAATGTGTGCTCAAAACATGCTTAATTTCTCAACGGTATGAGAAATCATAACTTCATACTAACAGTTTAAAAAAAGGATAACTATATGTGGGGTATGTAATATATTATACATATAATAAGATGTCAATTAAATTTTATATCAGTATTACAAAAGAAATAATATACCATATAGTTAATCTATATTAGTTAATATACGTATTTCGGGCATGATAGGTAATAATACCAGGGTGAGAGTAAACATGACTGTTGACATGATAGGTAATAATACCATTTCAAAATAGGATATATATTAGTTAAGATACGTATTTCGAGCACATTAGATTTTGGCTTGTCAATGTTATAAAAGAAATACAAATTTTAGTACACTTATATAACACGCAGGCCGTAAATTATTCAAAATATATAAATATCGTAAGAATTATAGATTTAGAGTCTAAGCTGTGTTTATCATTTTTGTAAATAGAGAAAAGTATTTGGTTTAAAGAAAACTGTACATATGTGGGTTTGCCCGAGGTCGCATTTAATGAATAGTACAGCTAGGAAAAGAAATTTCGAAAAGTGCTGTAAAGAACTCACAGTTATAACCATATCCGGAGAGAGTAGCTGAAAGTAGCGTCTTCCCAAGGTCGTCATAAATAATAATCCAAGGTCACAATCATAATAAATGTTTGACAGAAAGGGCTACTTACCAACGGTATTTGACTATCTTGACATTGTAGAAGAATAAATAGTCTTTAATGCCTCAACCACTACCTCATTTATGAAAACAGACCAAACCTTCGAAGTAGGAGGCAACACAAGGAGTGAAGTTCATATATTACACATATTGAATCCTAATAAACACAGTAAGTCTATTATCATATTTACTATCTGCATTACGTATATGAATGTGTCATGTGAATACCATGTAATTAAATAGATAAATGACATATCAAAACAAATTAGATGTTATGCATTACTTATATGAATGTATTATGCGAATACCATGAACCATATGACCAAATTTTAATGGGTGTATATTTTAATAACCTATGTTTCATTCTAGCTATTCAAGATGAGTGAATGTTCATGTCAAGTAGTTTCAACTGGGGGGTGCTATACGTGTGGAAAAAAGTGTGTTGGCATTTTACTGGATGCATGCTCATGGTGTGATTCAAACTATAGTCATTATTTCTGCATGAGGCAAATAAAGAAGAACAGAAAGTACATGGAATACTTATGCAAAGATTGTTCAGCATGGGTAGATGCACCAACTATGATACCAAGGAAATCAGATCGGATAATACAACTAAACAGAAAGTACTTTAATGCAGATATGGTGGTAGGTATGTCATGGGAGTGGATGAGTAGAAATGCATAAGTGATAGTCATGTGTAACATGAATGTTTTGTAACATGCATGAGATATGCATTGATGGTTAGGTGTGGATGTGAATCATAAGTGCTGTGTTCAATGAATGGCAGTTTGAATGAAAAATGACAATGATGAACATTATATGTATTATTCGCATGCCGTAATACAACAGTTTATGTTCTGAAGTTATGTAGTGTATGATAACATAGGTGATGTGTACAATGAAGTGTTAATTTAGCAATACCAAATATTTTTATAATGCCGATGCCACAAATAGAACTGCTACAATGCATAAAATGCATCTATGTGATAAATCCAGGTAATGTAAGAGTACCAATCTTAAATATGAGGAGGCTCACAAAGTCCACAGTAATCAACCGTAAAAGAGCAAACGAGGATCTACCTAACAAAGGTATGACAAAAAGACTAATTTTTAAGTTTAATCTCAAATAATTTAATAGAGTAAGGCATTTTTAATACGTCTTAGTATAGTCATATACAAAAACAACTATTTCCAGCAGATACTTAGAAAGGCCGATTTGTAAAAACAGGTCCATTTAAGATAGGTCATAGGCAATGAGCTGCCAGACCAAGCAGATCCGAAGGCCAAACATGGCTGGCAGGGAATCTGGCTAGCTCATATTGAACGCCTAAACTCCAGTTCTATAGTGTAGACTTGAACAAGGATTACGTTGGGTAGAGGGAAGTGAAACAATTATGCATTTCAAGAGATATAACAATAACACTTGCATAGATGTATATAGATAAAGGCTTTTAAGACATATACGCATCACAACTGCATAGATCTACAGATCTAAATGCAACAAATGGTATATGTCTATTGCAAACGTGTTCGTACGCAATATATGAAATATAATTCATAACACATGCATAGATCTATATACATAATTAAAGACCATTAAGACATATCCGCATCACAACGGCGTGGATCTACGAATCTAAACGCAACAAATGGTATATGTCTTTCACAGCGTGTTGGAAGTTAGAGATTTATAAATTTAAATAGATCTATATACATCTGGGCAAGGCGTTATAAATATAAACTGGAAATTAACCCAAAAATAGATCTAAGGCTATTAAGAGGTAAACGCATCACAACTGCGTAGATCCTTAGATCTAAACGCAACAAATGGTTTACATCTTATGCAAGCGCGTTCGAAGCCATAAATTATTAGATCTAATGCTATATGATTGCTATAATAGCATAAACGAACCACAGATTCGGAGATCTTGATAGATCTATTCAAAGGTTCGTAATATTGTAGCAATTACGTAGATGTACAAAAATCCATCTTTTACCAATGTTTTTAAAAACACAAAAACGATGCAGAAAAATCCATATTTTAAAAATGTTTTGAAATCGAAAAGAAAACCAGGAACTCAGAGTTCAGTAGTTATACTTCCTCACATGTGTAAGAACACACCGATCATCGGATAACATTGAAAAGTAGGAGAATCATTACAGAAATACAAAAACTATGCCTAATTTAACAAAAATAATCATACCGTTCATTGAACCGAAAAAGGACTACAATCCTTCAATTCGTTAACGTGTTCACGAACACATCCAAAATGGTTGTCAATGAACACCAGAATATGATAGATGTACATAGAGTGGTCTGGAATTATCCGAACAGAGAGGTATAGACTTTTGAAGAAACATAGAGTAAGGTGATACAGAAAGCATACAAAAAAATTAGAAGAAGAGAGATGAAGAGCGGCCGTTTAACCGAAGGGTTTTAAACTGGTCTGTAATAATCCATACTCTAGGGGAGGGGGTTATATATTGCTAGGGTTTGGGCTGAAGAACCGAAGGCTTTTAAAGTGGGCTGGAATAATCCGGACTGCGTAAATCTAAATGGACTGGACGGATATTAATGGGCTGTACAGATTAAATGGATTTAATGGGCTGATGTAATTGGGGTAGATTGGCAATACTAAATGCAATACTTCCTCCTT